GTTTTAAAAATAAGCTTTGTTGAGAGTTATTGCGTCTCTGAGTTTCTTCAGTGTCCTGGTTTTTCCACCTATAATTTTAAAGGCAGAATTCAGTGAAACTACACACTTGCTTTTAAATGTAGGGCATCTCAAAAATTGTAGCTATCCAGAGTGCCACTGCTTTCACCAATATAGGTATTCAGTTGTTCTTTTTCTTAATTATCAATATGTGAAACTTAACACCTGGTCACTGATCACTTCTAATATCTTAGGATAATTTTCATCTCTAGCAAACATTCTTCAAGTACTTCGTAAGATTAACACCTTTGAGGTTCATATTTTTAAGCTTATCTAAATGTTATAATATGTAGTTTGTAACTTTGAGCAGGAGATGGAGCCAAACTGGACTAAATGCAAAATGGAAGTTTGCTTTATTGTTAAAGTTGAGGGTTAAAACATGGCTTTCCAGTAAGGATTTTTGGAGTTCCAGAGACTTTTACAGTTGTTGCGAGGATTCTGAACAAATTGAGAAATACTAGTTATAGATAGTTTTACATGGACCTGAATGGAAGTAAATGGAAATAATTCACAGGTTTTGCTTTAAAAATTTATAAAAGCCTTTAAGCTTTTAATGTCCTTATTGGGTAGAACTTTGCCAATCTAGAAAAAAGTATATATAAATTTATGTAAAAATAAACATTGCTCAAATAAAGTAAAAATTGGAAAAAAATATCACAAAGATACATTATTCTGATTCCTCTATGAGAAATTACTAATAATTTTTTCTAGTGAATGAGAGCCTTGTTCTCTTCATGCAGAAGAATTTGTGGGTGTGGGAGGTGATGATTCCCAAGGCACTGATGATCAGAGGGTTGGGCTGTTCCTGTTAAAGTTCTTCTGTCGAATTGGAGGTATGAAGTGAGTTGCCCTGTTTAAGTTACTGCTGGGATCCTCTCAGCTGATCCTATTTGAGTGTATTTTTTCCATAGGCACACAACAGCATAGCCAAAGAACCGCTGCTCTGTGCTTGGAGTGCCAGGTTCTGATAGATAACAGTTCTTCATCTGGGGGAAATAGCTGTTGATTTTGCAAGCTGAGAGTCTTTAGACATTGATCATTATTTCCAGCATCTGCTTGCTTTCTTCCTTGGACACAATAGGTGTTTTTATTGTCTCACTGATAGCCAGTAAAAGTATTCCCAGTTACAAGATGAAACTTTTTTCACATGTGTGCTAAAGTTCACTTCACCAGTGATAGTATTTTAACTTCCAGGAGGGTTATGAAAGAGGGAATTTAGTTTTACAAAAAAAGCAAACATGTAGCCCCTTATTCTTGTGCAATTATAAATGTATTTGGGGACTATTTTAGTTGGAAGTATTTCTCACCTCAGTCCTGGCATTGCATCCCTCTTCTCCCTCTTAGTCTCCCTCAGTCAGCTGGAGTGTAGAGGGAAACCAAATTAGGCTAAGATCTTTATTTCTAGTTACTCTGCTTTTTTACTCCTTAGTGTCATTTTTACTCTTCTTGATCTCTTTAGTTCCCCATATTTGGCTGTGGCCACAAGAGGACAATTCTTGGGTTTGGTCACCTTGACTGCCTTGATTTCAGCTTTTTGATTTTAGTTTTCTACCTGTGTGTTTTGTCTCAGGCAAACATTTCTTACATAATGCAGCAATACTGAAGAAGAAAAATCATTATTCAGTTGTCCTTCACATTATTATTTTTTTTTTGTATTTATTAAGTACCTCAATCATGCAGATGAGAGCTTGTAATTTCTTACTGTAGTCATGGCTTGCATTTGGGATAGCTTAATTCCTCTGTGGGGAAATGTAATGATGAGAAATGACATGCAGGTTCTCAGGTTCTGATGCCTGACAGTTCCCACCATTCTAGAAATGAGATTTACATTGGGTGGGATGAGCATTTAGACCTCACTTCTGCAGCTATGCCTATTAGATGTTTGTTGGGTAACGGGGATGTCAATGATATAGAATCTGCATGTACTGGGCTTTAAATAGGAGTCATTCCAGACAGAGCATGTGCTTGAGTTAGAAGTACATCTAATTGCTGTTGATATCATTAAAGGTTGTAGGCAGATGCTGCTGGAGCTTTGAGCACAATGAAAATCTGCCTCTGTTCCTTCACAGGTTTTTCTGCTTATATTTTGAAGAATAAAAATGCATCTGTGACCGTCAGTGTTCAGATCTGGCCAGTTGGATGCAGGCCCTCACAGTGCAGAGGAAAACACCTCCTTGCTTAAACTGGGGGAACTCAGCTTGTGAATTAATTTCTGGCCAGTTTTAGAATTCACACTTCTAAATATTGAGTAGCTGGGATCTCTCAAGTACACTTGTAGTTTTCCAGCACTGGTTACTTGCAAATAAATTACATTCCTATTGCTTTGTAATTACAGTCAGTCTAACAAAACTGTGCTGGGGTTACTCTATGTTGCTTCCATGGCAGCTAAGGGATTTCTAAACCTTATAATATGTATAAATTATTAAATATGTAATATTAAAAGGTATAAATATATAATATATGTAAAAACATCTAGAATATATAAAGACATAATAAGGAAATAATCTCCTTAAGTTTAGCCTACAGCTGTATTCTAAATTTTGTGTGAATTTGGACAGAAGTGCCTAGGGTTTGCTTGCTTAGATGGTAAAAGCTCTGTAATGCAGAGGAGGCATTCATGCAGTTCTTGAAATGCACAGTGGTGGTATCTATGACCTACTTTAAAAAACACTTTTTATTTAAGAAGGCTCAAATAGACATGTGCCATGTCAGTTCTGGGTTTAAACATTTATTTCCCAGTTGTGCTTGCTTACATGTGTATCATGTGTATTTGCCCCTAGATAATGACTGTGGGAATATTTGATTAGTTCCCTAGCATAAGCTATACCAGACACAGGCTGAGGATGAATGTTCAAACTGAACTTCCTTGATTGGTGCTGTTCTCTGGTTCATTCAGAGAACAAATTTCCAACAGAAAAATACTATGGAGGAGCAGGCAGTGCTTGTGAGACCAAGTTTTAAATTACTCAGTCTTGCTGCCCTCATGAATCCTCTCTTACCCCACAAAGATATTTATGCTGATGATGGCTATGATGCTAAAGGATTCAGATGGCAACCTGGGTAGATGCATGGCACAGCTTGGAAGTATGACAACATTTAAATCCTTTGTTTAATAAGGGACACTCTAAAAGGTGTGTTCACAACTGTACTTTCAGAATATATCTCAAAGTTTTCAAGAACAGTGGTCTGTGTATTTAGATGGTGTCTTGCAAATCTAGTAAAAGGCCTCTTGCAAATTTGAGGGTGAAAAGGAGAGGGGAACCCCTACAATTGTGCTTCTTCAAAAGAGGGAGGGGAAATAAAACAACTGGGGTTGTATTAGTGTGAGGCACCTGAATCTAAAATGAGCCATTTGGTGTTGTGTCCTGGGAAGACATCTCAGTCTGCTACATAAGACATCAAAGGTCCAAGCCATAAGAGAACCATTCCTAGATTAGATGTGAAGGTTGATCCCATAAATATTCCTTCAGTATCCAGTGTAAGGGTAAAGCAGGGATCACAAGCTGAATGGAGGAGAAGGAGGATTTGTTTTCATGAATAAATAATCTGGTGGATAGCTAGAGTAAGAGGGAAAAGTAGAGAATATTTTCCTGCTTTCTGTCTTATAGTTCCTCCTCCCTCTTTCCTCAGGAGGCTGGGGTACTTCCTGGATGTAGAGCAGTTCTTCAGTGAATAAAATGTTCCCTTGTCAGAATGGGATCAGCTGGTGATATTCAGCATTCTACACCTGGGCTTCACTGTCTTAATTCCTCTGTTTGAGTTGTTGAGTGATGCAGCTTGGGATTGTTTCTGGAATGTGCAGTGAGACAAGGGAAAAACATCGATGCATAAAGCTGGTGTGATAAAAGGAGACAGCCAGGTCTTCAGGGCAGTTTTTATCTTGACTAGGTAACAGTTCAGGAGAAGTGTCTGTGGTGGCTCTGAGGTAGCAGGGAGTGTGTTGTGCTGGTTCTCTGACTCAGCACCAGCTTCTAGGAGGCCAACTCAGAACCACAAACTTGGAGGCTGGCAGTTAGATAGGGATACTTGAATTGTTAAATGCATTTTTCTTGTTGAACCTGCTTGTGCAGAAAGGAATTCCTTCTCCTGTCTGATCTCCCCAAGGTCACCAGGCAGTAAAAAGAAAGGCTGCTCTGTGGGTTGCAGTTTCAGATTGGTGACAAGAATTTGCAGAGTTATCCATACCATGTGCTCCTAAGGAACTCCTGAATGGAGCCCTCGGATCTGTGTGTGGGTTTTTACACTGGCTGAGTGTGGAGGTTGTATTAATAACTCTGTTGTGGAGAGCACAGATGTTGGACTGTATGGAAAGAGAGCTAAAGGGCTGGATGAAGGTTATGGTCAAGCTCTCTGGCACTTGCTTTGTGACATTCAATAACTCAATGGCTGCTGTTGTCTTTGTAGGGAAGCTGTGCTCACAAAACCTCTTTGAGCAGTCAGCCTGTGCAACAAACACCATTACTGATTCCACTCTATTTCCTTCTCTCTGTGGATTTCTAGATGCCAAAATTTGAAAGGCAGCATCCTGGATGCTCTATTGCTCTTTTTGCAGAGAAACCAAAATTCATGATCTGGGAAAAACCCTGTTTGGTTTGCATTCCATTCTCCCAAAGTGGCATCACCAGCCTTGCCAGTTCCTATGAGGTTCTCTGCTTGGTGATAAGAGAACTTCATTTAGAAGGACATGCCATCAAATAGCTCCAATTGGAAAACTATTAAGAGCAAAAAAAAATAATTATTATTGAAAGAAGCTTATATTAGTTATAAATACTTAGTATCACGTCCACAGACAACTTATGCATTGCATAAGTGCATTGTTTATAAATAACCTGTAATATCACATCAATCCCTAACTTCTGTGTACTGTTTTTCCACTAGGGCTTGGATGATTATTTTATGAACCAATTTCCTGAGATCTCAGCACCCTTCATGCTTTGCAGTTTCTCCTGAGCTCACCTTTCAGGAGCTATACCCAGTGACTGCAGTATGGGTATGTGTATAATGGCTTGGCAGGTCTCCACAGTTGTGGAATTTACAACCATTGCTGTGCATGTAAAGCTTGGAACAGCTTTTTTTTTTTATTATTTATTTCTGGTGTATGATGAATTAGGCCATCTGTCTCCAGTGTCTGCTGACCCTTCTCCCCCACTCTCCTCTTGCCTGGTATGTTGGCTCTGTCACACAGTCAGCCAAGGTCAAGGTCTGAAGGCTGGGTCTGTGACCTTCGCTGCTGAGCCCTCGAGGGCTCAGTCCTCAGTTTCCCAGGGTAATTCTCCAGTATGTTATGCACCCACTGGCCTGAGATGCCATGCAAGGAGGAGGGATCTGTTTACAGTAACATTAAGAATGCGATAATAGGAACTTCCTTCACACACAGAGCCAGTGCTTGCAGAGTACTTTATTTAAGCCCAAAGTTAACAAGAGGGCTAGTTTTTCAAATCATAAATGAGACACTTCCTGGTTTACATCTAAAGTGGTAGAGGACACTGGAATTAACTGAACATAAGGTCTTAAAATATTGAATGCAGATGCACTTAAACGTACTGAGACAGAGGCAAGCTTTGATGAAACAAAAATAGCCAAGTAAAATTATCTTGGCTTATTCCATTGTGCTCCTTGCCTGAAATAAAAATATATGATAGTGACATAAGTATCAGCAGCCAAACAGGTATGAAGGTCAACCCTTATAAACTGGGCTAACACTAGTAACTCTAGAACTTGGTCCAAGATTTCTGCAATTAATGGGAATTTTTGAGTGGAATTTAATTGTGCTTTAGATTAAGTGTGTAGATGCAAAAGATTTTATGTAACAGTAAATTGTCTGCAAGCACTTGTGGAATCTCTTGGAAGTTTCCTGTAAATAGCTAGATCTTTAGCATGAGTGTAAGACTGGAAAGTTTATTTACTGCTGTTGGCAGCCATCACAGGGATATAGAAGTGCCTGGGCAGCTCCTCGGGGAAGTGACTTTTGTAGTATTGCCAGTGCTGTTACAAGATGATGAGTCAAGTATTAAAAAAAAAGTGAGAGTGTATGGAAATGATGGGGGTTTGTTTTTAAACAGAAGGCTGTAGGTTCGTTTTGTTTCATGCTTATTTTTTGGCCTTTAAAGGTGCCTGCAAACCATATTCAAAGCAGTTGTATGTACCCAAAAGGGCCTGGAACAGCTTCCCAATCAGAACCTGAGATTGCCATGCAGAGATATGACTAAAAGATGGTGCAGAGATCGTGGATTTATATTAACATCTCTGGAAGAGGTGATACTGAGCTAGCAGAGGGTGAAATGAGATTTAATGAAGTTGACCAGTAATGAGGAAGAGGAGGAAATTCCTTCACATAGAAAGTAGGTGACAGAGCAGATGTAGCATGCCTGGAAAATAAATAACTCTTGTGTTATTCTAGATCAGGATTATCTCTGACAAGGAAAAGTTATGTGTAGTGCTATGTGAATTCTGTGAACAATATAATTTAACCCAACAACTCCAAAGAGTTGTTAATTTTCAGATCTCCTTTTCCCTTTTTTTTTCTTTTTTTTTTTTTCAGCTTAACTACATGTTTTTGTAACTGTTTTGGCTGCAGTGTTCAGAGGTTTGTGTTGTGGGCCAAGCAGTCCTGTCTGGATGTGAAACAGCTGAAGAGGTTGATGCTGAAGGCTGTTCTCACCCCTTGAGAGGAGTCCAGCCTCTTCTAAAGATCAGAGCCTGCCCAGACTCAGCTGTGTTTGTCTATTAACAGATGAGATTACAGCTCTGAGATGAGGTCCTGCTTATGCTGCACTAAAAGGTTGGTCTTAGAGCAGTCACAGGTATGTGAGGCCACATGACTGCCTGTCTTGGCACATAAAGTTGGATGCTGTGCCACTTCCTCACATGTGGCCCAGAGTGCACATTCACATGCACTTATAGGACCACACTGTAGAGAATTAGTAGATCTGCCATGAGGGAGCCTTGGCCCTTCTGTAACAGGCAGCACAGACATAGCCTCAGTTTTTCTGGGACTTTAGCTTAAAAAAAACCCTTAAGTCTCTGTGACTACTGGGAGTTATTATGGAGTGAACTAGAGGAAGATAAAATGAATCCACTGCATATAACCTCACTGTGAGGAAATGGGGGTTTGGTGGTGGAGTGACTGATAAAGAAGTTTAATGTGTTTTCGTGCTGCTTTTTTTTAGTGTTGAAGTGTTAATGTACCTTAGGGACAATTTTTGATCAGTTCTCTGTGTATGCCACAGCATAAGGTATCATGGTTTCAAGAACAGAGATGGACTTATGAGTTGAAATGAAAATCAAACATTCCCTTCATTGTTGTTATAATAGTTCCTCTGTACTAATAATCCCTCAAAGACCAAAGCAAAAAATTGTTTGCTCCTTGTAAGGGAGAAAAGTTTAGAACCATAAAATTCAGATTACTTTGAGACTTCTGTCTCCTTGAGTTTACCAACTGGCAGAAAATTAGATGACATCAAAGAATTACTGGAAAAGAGCTTATTTAATTTTGAAATTAACTGGAAATTGTCACATGTGTTTGTAAGGCTAACAGCTGTTTTCATGTCACTTTACTGCAAAAGAGAGCAGCATTATGCCTGGATAAGGATATAGAAGATGAAGCTGTGAACTGTGATAGAGATATAAGCTGAACTTAATGGGATGCACAATCAGGTATTTCTGCTGTTTGTACTACACCTGTTAAGTGTTTTTTCTTTTGTTTGTTTTGGAGATTTTTTAAGAGTTAAATGTTAAAATGAATTAAATTAATTCTTAAATTTAAATAAATAATTTTACTTCAAAACAGTTTAGATGAAATATACAAATAACAATCCTGTCCTAAAAAGGAGTTGGAAAAATATCTAGTTTCTCATGGTTGTTTTTGTAGCATGATGAAAATACCTCTATGGGGAGCTCAATCCTGCTGTAATTTCTTACACATTGATCTAGGTCATATATTTTTAGGAAAGGAAACAAAGAGGGAAGGTAGTTGCAGCATAACTCAGCTGCAGGCAAACATGGATGAGTTTTGCCAGTGAAGTCTACTTCAGAGTGGTTTATTGGTCCTTTGCTACCTCTGATTAGTGTGGCTTACCACACAGCTATTGGCTGCCTTGAAAGATTTTTGGTAAGCAGACTAAAGAAGTATGGTTCTAATGAAGCAACATTTGATGCACAGTGGATATCTGAAGTATTATCAGAGGCCTTGGGTATACAGTGAGATACAAGCCTGTGGGCCAAGTGCTTTCAACATCTATCAGTGTAATAATTCATACAGAATGTGCCATTTTACCCATCTAATTGTAGAATTTGCAGGGAAATTAATAAAATCCAAAATAAAACTATGTAGGGTGTATTGATATCTGGTGTGAAACGCAAAATTATTTTGAGATTTGCATATCTTCTCTGACCTAAAAACCCAATTCCTTAAAAAAACACATTTAAAGCCAAACAAAACCTACAGAAGCTAACAGTTCTTCCTGCAGCAAGACTTCCAACAGTATCCAGGGTCCATTCATCATGTTCATTGGTGGGATCCGAATTGCAGTTTCTGAGATGGCTTTCTGGGTTTGGGACTTGGGTGTTCTGTTTTAACCTTCTTTCCACCAAAATTGACATCCTTGTAACAGCACCACAAATTATGCCCTTATGAAAAATCTCATCAGGATCATTCAAAAAAGTTTTAAGGCTAATTATGTTGCTCATTTAAAGGAGTCCCATTTATAGCAGCAAAAGTCCTGTCTTGTATCCCTTGAGCTGGACTTCTGGGAGGAAAAGACCTCTCACTCTCTGCTTAGACTGTCAGAAGAATAGTTTGGGTTGTGGGAGGACAAAGACAAATTGAGAGCAGCCTGGAGGATGGCCTGCAGCCATGCAGGGCATTTGTCATCAGTTTGTAGGTCTGCCCATCCCTTGCTGTTGAGCATAGGCTGTTAGTATTACAGTTTCCACTGTAGTGGAATATTCAGTGAAGGTGCTGAGAAAAGCCTCCCTGAGTGTATTATGCAATCTAGTATGCAGAATTGGAGCTGAAACAGCCCATTCCGTGGGAATGGGTTTGTTTTAAGTCATTCTTCCAGCACAGATTTATCTATGTGAACTGGAAATTACAATATTAAATGCCCAGCACTGAAATTTTGTGTGAGGATTATCAGACTTAAGTCCCCTCAGTGTACTGTAGTCTGGGCTTCCTGCTGGCACAGGAGCTTCCACTGCCAGGGTTTTCAAACACTAATGCCTGGAATTATGAAAGGAGGAATAACAGAAGAGAATGTTTTCTCTGTTTCACTCTGTCTGCATGACAATGACTATTAAAAAACTTTCGCTCTTTTCTCACTTCCCTCAATTTCTTTTAAGCTTCCCAGCTGAAACAAAGCCATAGCATTTTTCCACCGGAGTAAAATTGCTCAGTTTCCTTAAACATAATGTCTTGGATACCAAAAAGTTATATTTTTAATGCTGCTTTTTTTTTTTCCTTCTCCAGATTTACACATAAAATATGTGTACACAGAAGACTTGAGGTGTTTCAGGTACTGAGTGTATCAGCTTCCTCTCCTGAACTGAGTCAAGGACGGTTATCTGCAAATGAAGCTGCACAGCTGCTGCATCTCAAAGTTTGAGTTGCTTACTGTTGTCACCTCTCTTTTGCTGGGTACAGCTCAGCACATTCAAGGTCAGCCTTTCTTATTCTCACAGTGCATGTGTGGTTGTGATCATTTGCATCTGATTCCTCTAGTGCTGAGACCTGTCCAGGGGTGCTACATGTCTAATCTTAAAATAGATCCACCAGATGTTTAGTATCTGAGTGCAGTGTGATTATTTAGTGAGGATTATATTTCTTTAAGTTTTAAACAGTAATGCAATTGTGCTGTGTTTTTAATTATGTGTTCATTTCAATGAGTGTAGCCAGTGCTGCAGTGATGGAAGGCAGTGTTTTTGAATCCATGTGATGCATCACCACCACGTGCTTAGTGCCTTGCTACTGGCCTGATCTTGTGAGGTGTTCATCACAGTCCAAAAATAAAACTTGCTCACAATGTGATGTATGGAATAGTCTTACAGGGGAAGGTAAGGGAGAGTTTTATTGCTTGTATCACTTGACATTGGGACTGAATGGAAACTGGAAAATATTATGCCACAGCAATAGCCTTTCAGATTGCCTCTATGTTTGCAGGAAGCAATTACAAACATTTATAATTCACTATATAGCTTTCTTTTCTTCATTCCATTAGCTTAGTTCCATAGAATTTCTTTTGTTTGGTGAAGGCCAAGTAATCCCAAAGGGTTAAAGATTTTGTTGGAAAAACTTGCTTACATTTCTGTCTAATTCTGATGTTCTGTTAAAAGGTTATATTGTTAAACAAATTATTGCTATAAACAAATGAAATTCCAGCACCTTACTACACAGACCCAGCATTTCACTGCAATCAGTTTGAGCTACAGCTAGACCTCTTGCCTGAGGCTGCAATGCTCCTACTATAAAGCAATTGGTCACACCTCATTATTGAGGTTATTTGCAAGTGTGTGAAGGACCAAGTAACAGATGTTTTGAAATGGCTAATCAATTTTTATAGATTTAATTAGGTTGATGCCTACACATATTTCCAATGTGCTTTTCCACCAAAGCTAGGGAAAGGATCTTAATTTCAAATTCAGCCAAACTTTTGTGAGACTCAGGCTTCAATGTTAAGAGCATAAGTATTACTTGCATGCTATTGCGATATTCTATTTTGGCCACTTACACTGGAGATTCTTGTCTCTGAACTTCACTCTTAGAAAGTTACATTTGGACTTAGATGTATGACACTTGTTGTTTGGAGTGACACACACAAATCCCCATATACCAGAATGAAAATTCAGCCCTAATCATCAAAGGGAAGTGAGGACTAAATGAATGTGTCATGCATATCCAATTTCTCCACTGATCATCCAGAGAAAATAAATCACAGTGGATGTCCTTCCATTTCTTATTTGTTTCAAAAGCTACAAGGAGTTCTCTGTTAAAGTCACCCTGGGTTTCCCCAGGGAATGCTAAAATAAATTAATATTGTCTGATTGAATGTTTTGACCCATATTAAACCACTGAAAAATGATAGGCCTATTTTATCATGGCAGCAGGCCAGCTTTTTTTTTTTTTTTTTTGGTGTGCTACTGGAATCAGAGGATAAAACTAGAGGATCACATCTTAACTGAACTAATAACCAATTTCATTCATTTTTAATACATCTTTTTCTTTTGTAACTGTACTTTTCCAGATAGATTTCTCATGTATCAATCACTCAACAATGTCTATTATCCATATATGCTAAGATCTCCTGTCATCTTCCTGTTATACATCAGAAAAAGACTGCAAAAGTGATCCACAGAAAGGAAAAGAGATAAAAATGGGGAAAGGCATTGCAGAAAGGTCTGGCTTGATTAACTGGAAAATTTTAAATGGCACACATTGCAGATAGGTATTCAAGTCACTTTGATTTCAATGAGAATAAGGCAGCTTACAGTCCCTCATCTCTCTGAAATGTTCCCTTGCACCCTAAGGCAATTTAATTTGGAAGGAATTGCTGGAAGAAATATGATAGGTGTATAAAATGAGCAGTATAAAAAGCATGCTGCCACAGCAAGGGCAGTGCCCTGAGATTCAGAACCTGCTCAGAAGTTAATTGAAATCAATTGGAAAGACCTCTGTTGACTTAAATAAGCTCTGGATCAGCCCTTGTGTGAACTACTTTCAACACCCAGGTCTACTACAATTTTTTTGAATGGCTCAAAGCAAGTCATTCAGAGCCATATCCAGAAAGGGAGCAGATATTGTAATGGGATTGCTCCAAGGGAAGAGAGTGTGAAAGGTTCTCTGTGGAGCCTCACACTAGGGCTCTTTTCTGAAATGTGTTATGAGCTGCTAACATAAAAAAAACCAAACTGTATTTAACCTGTGGTGCTTACAGTTGTAGGATGTTGTCCAGACAATTTTAAAACATTTAAAATATTAGCATTAAGCATTTAGGATTTATAAACAACATCTGTAATCAGATTAGTTTTGATAAAATGTCACCAATCCTCATGTTTCCCAGCATAAACTCACCACGAGCTGGAATAATGAAGCAGATACCTCAAAGGAAGAATATGCTACTGTTAAGCAATTAATTGTATCATTTACATATTTTGTTATCCAGCCTTTATATGGATGGAAAGAGAATCTATTCTAACTGCCTGGAGAAAGACAGAGCTCTCTATAACTTATGTAACTGAGGCCATTCCCTTGAGGTGATGGAGGTTCCTGGCGAGTTCTGGACCCTACAGACCCAATGGGCTGGGTCTCACTGGCTGCTCTAACCCCTCACAAACTCTAGCAGTGTTTTTGGTGCAATCAAAAAGGCTCTGCAAGCAAAGGAGCTGGGCAGTACTCTGTGGGATGGAGCCTTAGCCATCTGAAATGAGATCAGCTCAGATGGTCAGAGCATGGTGTTAATAACACCAAGGCTGTGGATTCAATCCCTGTATAGGGTATTTACTTAAGAGTTGGACTTTTAATACTTTGCCCTCTAATCATATCCTAGGAAAGGACAGTTAGTTTAGCTGGAGATATTAAAAAAGCTCATCTGGAAGCAAACATTTCAGCCAAATAACTGCTTCTGATCATTGTTCAAAT